CTCTGCACAGGAAGGAAGCCAGTGAATCAGGCAAGGGGGTCAGGCTGCCCCCACACTCGCCACTGTACCACCTGCTCCCGCCAGCCAGCTGGGAGGGCCAGGCCGGGGGTCAGGGAGGAGCCTGGGGCCCCGGGAGCACCGCCCGCGCCCACTCCCTGCCCGAAGCCTGCCCCTCCCCTCCCCACATGGCCCCCAGCGCTGGGCAACACCCACGGGCTTCTATCCCAGAGGGCGGGGGCACCCGGATGGCCGGAGGGTTCCCTTCCTCGGCTGGCTGCCCCTTGCCACACGCCGTGGCTCCAGACGGGAGACCCAGGGGCCCACACTCCCCAGGGCAGCAGCGCCAGGCTGTCCCTGACACCAGGGGGCCCTGCGAGGGTGCACCCCACGCTCACTGTCTAGAGGGCACATCAGGCCACCTGGGGTTCGTGGAAATCAAGCCAGAGGACGGGCCTATGCAGAACTGGCCAGCAGCACCCCGCCCCACCTCCTGCTATGTGACCCTGGGCAAAGCACTGCCCTCTCTGAGCCTCACCCAGAAAACCGGGAACTACGGCAGATCCATGACAACAGACGTGGGAGGTACCTGTTAGTGTGTCCCCGAGGGCCACACTGCCGAGGCCTGCTGGCTTTGAGAAGACTCCAGCTGGCAGCCTCTCCAGGGAGGGCAGGCTGGGCCTCCATGCTGCAGCCCTGAGGGAACCTCGACTGAGCGCCCCAAGCAGAAGACAATGCCATTTTCTCCAGAGACCCAGAAAAGTCACCCAGAAGGCCCTGGTTCCAAAGCTCCTGAGACCAGTGAGCCACCGGCACACATATGCACATGTCCACACATGCATGCATGCATGCACACACACATGTGCACGTGCACACACACGTGTGCACACGCAGGCTGCTCACACAGACCTTGTCCCTGCCTTCTCTCCTGCATCCCTGAGCCTGAGACACGGCGGTCACCAGTCCCCTCCCCTGGGAGGTGCTGAAGACTGCTCAGGGTGCACACCAGGAGAAAGGCCACTGCCACGTAGCGCGACTCTCGGCAGCCAAACGAGAGCAGCTAGAGGCGCCCTGGGACGACACGCACGGGTCTCAGCTCAGCGGACTGTCACTCAGCTGAAAGGCCTTAAAGAAAAAAGCCACAGGCACGTGTGCTCGCCACAGAGACAGAGACGCCGAGAGGGAGGGAAGAAAGCACCCGACGGGGGGTGTGCAGTCCCTCCACTCAGGAGAGCAGCTCTGGCACACACTCTGTGCAGATGACCCTTGGCCACCGAGGCCAAGGAGAAGGCGCAGCTCCAGCGGCCACCTCTGAGCAGCCCTGCTGACACAGATGTCCAGGACAGGAGGTCCAGGGGTGGGTGGCCTCTCCCGAGATGCTGCGGTGATGGCCGCTCTCAGCTGCGACATGCGCAGACCCACCGGTGTGTGCCCTAAGGGGGGTTGGACAGCACGTCCATCGGGCCTTGGCCGAGCGGGTCAAAGCCAGCAGCTGAGACGTCCCAGAGCTCGTGCAGACTGTGGCAGGGGGACCACCAGGAGCCACCACCTGCACCGGGACCCAAGGCCAGGGCCTGAGCGGGAGGAGTCCAGCTGTGGAGGGAGGGCCTGGTCAGGGTCTGAGCCATGACTGCAGGATCCACGGTACCGCTGTCTGTGTCTCGCCTTCGTGGGTGCCAGGAGGCCCGTCACCCACGTTTCCGAAGGCCCTGAGTGATGAATCCTGGGCTCTAAGGTGCCCTCACCCCGTGAAATCAGGCACCTGCCCAAACTCTGGGACAACCACTAGGTCTCCTGGGGGCCACAGGGCCCGAGTGCCCCGTGAAGCGAGCCTGGCCCGTGCTTCATCCCTTTCAACTCTCTGAAGTCCCCAAGGGGGTCCAAGGGCCCCCCCCCCTCAGAGATGGGAGACTGAGGTTGGGGAGTCC